GTACATCAGATTAGTTTGTACTACTTTCAGAAAGAAATTTGACTAAAAAACAATTCACTCAATAAGTAAATGCTTTTCTTCACTACGCCCACGGTTTGTCTATCATTCTGTTGTTGAAAATAGCTATTGGAGCGTTTTTTGTGGCAAAAAAGTTATTTCTTGAAGAAAGATAAGGAAATATCCCGTACTTATTTTAAATAGGAATTTAGTACATAGTTTGCGATTGTTTTGACCAAACTTTGTTGCTAAAATAACTTCATCGAAAATATGTTCTAGAACTTGTAGCTAAATTTCGGGAAACCGGGTCAGTCGCCAATAAAAAACGCAAAATTGAAAATCCCATAAGGAACGAAGCAATAGAAGTGGGGGTTTTAGGGCAAGTTTATGTAGATCCTACGTTAAGTACACGCAAATTGGAGACTGTGTGTGGTGTTAGTCGACGTACTGTCCAACGGATTCTAAAGGCCCATAGTTTTCATCCGTATAAAATTCACCTGCTACAAAAACTTAATGAAGACGATTTTGTGAAGATATGAGCGAACGAATTATAAAATATGAACATTTTCTATTCAACACTTGCTTTTCCGACGAATGATCCTTTTTCTTAAATGGCGTAGTAAATCGTCATAGCTGCCGATATTGGTCCGATTCTAATCCCAGGATTTAGCATGAGGTTCAAACTCAGCAGCCACAAAAGTTAAATGTTTGGGCTGGTATTTTTCGCGATCATTTAGTTGGTCCTTTTTTCTTACCTGGAAGACGCCATAGATCCTGCATTAACAGCCATAATTGAAAATCAGAATGATCGGCGGTACATTGCGAATGGGTTGATGTTCCAACAGGATGGTGCCCCACCACATTACGCATTACGTGTTCGACAATATTTAGATCAGACGTTTCCAGATCGATGGATTGGTAGAAGAGGTGCCATTGAATGGCCCCCAAGATCGCCAGATTTATCACCTTTGGATTTCTTTATGTGGTTTCATTTAAAAAGCAAAATCTATGCTACTCAGCCAACATCATTAGAAGACCTGCGACAAAGAATTGTGAATGAGAGCCTTCAAGTTACTCCTCAAATATTGCAAAATGTGCGGCAACGTTTTGAGCAAAATCTTTATTATTGCATGGAGAGTCACGGTGGCCATTATCAACATTTACTTGCCTAACGGGTCAGTTCATTCTTCATTTTTAAATTACTTTGCTGCCAAATGTATTGATCTCCACTAATGATGATGTATTAGTTTTATTTAAGCTTTAAATCAATAAATCTTCAAAACTACTGAACTGAAGTACATTAATTTTATATCATTATAGAGGGAACTGAAAGACCTTTAAAATAAGGTATCACTCGACCCCCCTTTCCATTTAAGATTTTGGGTATGGTGTCACCCCCGCTTAGGGAGCTGCACGTGTTAACGTTTTCGATGCGCCACCCTGTATATACAGGGTGACTTCGAAGTTGAGTCATTTATTTTAACAGTGAATAGATCTGATCAAAAGAAATGTTTTTTCCTTTACCATTTTTCTGGTAAAATTAAAGTAACAAAGTTATAGCCCTTTGGAAGTTTGAGTACCGCCCTGTCTCAATATCATGTGCTCGTGTTTGGCAACAACGGATATAATCCGCCTTACCGGTTCATCGTATCGGAAACAAAAAAGCGAAAGAATTTGGAACGATGTGTGTGTACAGTTTATTATTTTATTCAGTTCAGTTATACATACAGTCAGTGTCAGTGTCGCGTGTGAATAGTGTCTGTTGCGTGGCTCAAACGAAATAAAAAATGGCACATGTTTATGCGGATCGGTTTCCCAATCGAGTGCAACCAACCCCTCGTGCCTTTGTTAATGTAGTACAACGGGCTCGTGAATCAGGTGACTTAAGACCTCACAGGGGACCTCACGATCAAATACAGGTCCGCACTGAAATACTTGTCGGGAGGATACTTTATAAAACAAGGTAAAAAATTTTTTTTATTTTTTTTTTTATTTTTACACACATATTTTGGTTTATCTTCCTTCTACAATCATTATCTGAAAATTAATGACTCAACTTCAAAGTCACCCTGTATATATTAATTAGTAGCGATAACGCGAAAACTGTTCGAAGTAGGTGGTATAAACCTCATATCAAAAAAATAATCAAGGAAAGCTAATTAGTGAATTTGAGAAAGGGTAGACACATTTTGCGTTTTGAGATATTTTGTTTAAATAGGCAGATATTTCAGGGATTCTTCCAGATATGCTTAAAATTGATGATAGTAAAGATTTTGCGAACTAAAGCTTATCTAAATATCTTCAAAAATGGCGGAGCTGAAGCCGTCAAAGTTGCTCATTTTTTCAGACATTTCACTAAATATCTAAACAATTGACAATCGAAACCATATGTTACATGATATCAAACTTCTTGTTTTCAGAAGCTCTATCCAAATACGCAATAAAATATAGTGTTCTGTTCAAATGTATGTTTTTTATGTAACGAAGTTGTGGAACACCCTGTATATAAAAATAATTTTTCAAATATGCACTTTGCTCATAAAACTACTTTCCATTCTCGTTGGGATACCTTGCATGTCTATACCTTACTGCTACCAGATGGTACGATCGCTAGAGATTTGCGAAAAAAGTGGGACTTGACAAATAGTGCGCTTAGACCTCGTTAAATGTTCATGATAAGAAATACTTTTCTCCCCATAACCTCCTCACTCAACAAGGCCCAAATAAGACCTACCCCAAATACTGCTCACATATTTAGGGTGCTGTCGCCTCGACTACATTATCCATGCTCGATGCGGTTCTGAGGAGTGCTCTCGGAGTGATTGATGACACTTTCCAAACGGACAGTCTCGAGACCTTTTCTCACCGACGAGCCATTGGCGATTCAGCTATCTTCCAGCTCTACGACGACGGACCTTTCACTTCAGAGCTTTCCTCTATGATGCCGCCGCGCGTTTAGCCTGCCAGATGAACCGGTCAGGCTTACATCCTAATTATGTCGAACTTGTACATGACGGAAGGTTGTTCTGACCGCGTCTTTCTCCCTAGGAATGGAATCTCCCACACTTTGAAAATACGTTGAAATTAACAAACACCAACGTTATTAGGAGAATATTCATGCTCTCTCTTCGCTCAGGAATTTTCAGCACCCCGTATATCGCTATATCGGTAGATGGAGTCGCTCTGTAGAATTTATTAATAAAAATGTATACTAAGTGACATATAAATCCGAACACCCAGTTTAAATGGTTTTATTTTAATAAAATTTTGTATAAGCACTTAATGAAGCATAATAAGTAAATGATAAAAATTTCAAAATGATTGCACTGCTTTAAAGCCCTTTGACCTTTAATAATGTGTGGATGCACCCTGATGTGCTACGCATTCTCCAACGCGCCTAGTCATGCTTCTGATCAGGTGGTCAATGTCCTCCTGTGGTATCTCATTCCAGGCAAGCACCAACTCCGCTAGAAGTGCTTCTAGAGTCTGAGGAGGACGTTGCAAATTGAGCAATCTCCTACCCATCATATCCCACACGTGCTCAATTGGGGATAAGTCGGGAGATCTTGGTGGCCATGGTAACAATGTAACATCATTATGTTGAAAGAAGTCTATTGTGACTCTTGCAACATGTGGTCGGGCATTATCTTGTTGGAAAGTTGGATCTGCCAGGGTGTCAAGATAGGGTAAAAGATGGGGTTCTAGAACTTCGGGGATATAACGCTGCGCGTTCATGTTACCTCTGATGAAGATTAAAGGTGACCTGGAACCATAAGCTATAGCACCCCAAACCATAACTCCAACAGTGTGATGAACATGTCTTTCAACAAAAACTGTGGATTCCTCCTTTCACCACGTCGCCTTCTAACCCTGGCACGACCATCGTGCATGCCTAAACAAAATCGAGACTCGTCACTAAAGACAATACTGTTCCATTCCTGATCCCAGAGTGACCGTTGTCTGCACCACTCAAGGCGATTACGTCGGTGTTCTCGAGTTAAAGGGAGGACCCAGTGTGGCCGGTATGAAAACAAGCCAAAACTTCTCATTCGTCGGTAAACACTTCGCATGCCAATAGGTCTTCCGTGTTCTGCAAACCATTCATTTGCAATGGACCTGGTAGTGGAGAAACAGTCCCTTAAGGCCAATAATCTTAGGCGGCGATCTTCACGGTCTGTTGTTCTACGGCGGCGTCCAGTGCCCCTTGCTCTTTGCGTACGGCCTTCTCGAAGCCATGCCTGACAACACCTAACCACAGTGTCTACACTTCTTTGCACTCTAACTGCAATTGCCCGAAAAGAAAGTCCAGCTTCCCGAAGTCCCAATATACAGCCCCTATCAAACTCACTAAGTTGACGAAATCGTACAGGTCTCCGTACTCTAGGCATCGTAACCGATCGTAAAGGATGTCAAGAACCAAAATCCGCCAACGTTGATTCTTTACTGCGGCTGAAATATTCATTTTTAGAGCGTTAGTGAATTAAAAAAAGCAGTATAAAAACCGGAATAATGTCCAACTGATAAGGCTGAAAATTTTTTCACTTGTTATTTACAGTAAGATAAATACATTCACCAACTTTTATTAAAATAAAACCATTTAAACTGGGTGTTCGGATTTATATGTCACTTAGTATATTTTAAACCAGATCTTATATATCTTATATAGATAGTGTGTTATATTATACATTAGTTTGGTATGTTATGTATGATACACGACAAATTAATCATCAAATACAAGTTTAATTCCTGTTCAGCGGCTGTGGTTGTAATGAATCACTAATACCAACAATTCTTGTTATACTTGTGGAAATCTGCCTGATGAGCCTTTTCAAAGTTCTACTAACCTTATGCAATTCAAAAATCGTATTAAGCTCCTTATAGAAGTCACAGTGCCTCGATCTTGGATCAGTATGAGAAATGATGCTCCAGTGACCGTAGACACTGGTACATCTATTACCCTTCCTTCATTAATTCAAACATCTTAAATGTGATTCTTTTTTCAGAATAACACGAGCAACCATTTCATCTGTGAACGACTTCAGCAGTTTAGCGAACCCCTGCAAAAATTTTCAACGCAAAATGGTAAGCCGAATTTATGTGTAATAAAATGTGTTTTCCCTCGATTTTTCTGATAATAAAATTGAGAATTTGTATGCGCAATAAAAATACTGTTGATAAACAGCAGCAAACGAGGTTGAAATTACTTTAGTATATTTTATTTGACACTCAGGGAAATGTGATGAGACCGACAAAAAAACGCAAGCTAAAACGGTAATCTCAGACTTATAGTACGGTATGTCTCCATGTGGCTAGGAATTAGCAACTTGAATGCTGATAATACACCTAATTTAGGTGGACCATGGCAGACCGCTTTAACAAATAAACAAATATTATTTCTTTAATTACAGGATGAGTGAAACAAACAAATTTTATTAAGCAGCATTTTATTTTATTATTATTAACGTTGTGATACAAATATATACAAATACTACATAAAAAATATTTTATTAAAATGAAACACCAACTACTTATTTATACAAGGTGGCGCATCGAAAACGAAACAGACGCATTTACTGACAGCTCAGTTTTTTTTTTTGAAAAACGCTCAGACCCGTCGATTTTGTTTTCGAGGGGGACACAAGTTTGGCAAAAAATCACGTAAACACGTGCAGCCCCCTGGGCGGGGGTGACACCAACCCTAAAACGTTCAATGGAAAGGGGGGTCGAGTGATACCTTATTTTAAAGGTCTTTCAATTACCTTTATAATGATGTAAAATTCATGAGCTTCAGTTCAGTAGTTTTGAAGATTTATTGATTTAAAGCTTAAAGTAGACTCTAATAGGTACATCAGATTAGATTGTACTACTTTCTGAAGAAATTTGACTAAAAAAATTTACTTAATAAGTAAATGCTTTTCTTCACTACGATCATTTTGTTGTTGAAAATAGCTATTGGAGCGTTTTTTTGTGGCAAAAAAGTTATTTCTTGAAGAAAGATAAGGAAATATCTCGAACTTATTTTAAATTAATAGGAATTTAGTACATATAAAAAAATAACTTGTAACGCTTTATTAGATAAATTTCCACAGCAGAAAGAGTTGAAATCATCGAAATATTTTTCGGAAATAATCAGTGCGCTAATAGAACAGCAAAAATATTTAATTAGCGACATGTAACGTGCATCGAAAATATGTTCTAGAACTTGTAGCTAAATTTCGGGAAACTGGGTCAGTCGCCAATAAAAAACGCAACATTGAAAATCCCATAAGGAACTTTAGCAATAGAAGTGGGGGTTTTAGGGCAAGTTTATGTAGATCCTACGTTAAGTACACGCAAATTGGAGACTGTGTGTGGTGTTAGTCGACGTACTGTCCAACGGACTGTAAAGGCCCATAGTTTTCATGCGTATAAAATTCACCTGGTACAAAAACTTAATGAAGACGATTTTGATCGGCGATTACAATTTTGTGAAGATATGAGTGAACGAATTACAAAATAAGAACATTTTCTATTCAATACGTGCTTTTCCGACGAATGTTCCTTTTTCTTAAATAGCGTAGTAAACCGTCATAGCTGCCGATATTGCTCCGACTCTAATTACAGAAAATTAAATGTTTGGGCTGGTATATTTGGCGATCATATAGTTTGTCCTTTTCCTTACCTGGAAATTTGACCGGTGAAATGTATTTAGAATTACTGGAAGACGCCATAGATCCTGCATTAACAGCCATAATTGAAAATCAGAATGGTCGGCGGTACATTGCGAATAGGTTGATGTTCCAACAGGATGGTGCCCCACCTCATTACGCATTACGTGTTCGACAATATTTAGATCAGACGTGTCCAGATCGATGGATTGGTAGAAGAGGTGCCATTGAATGGCCCCCAAGATCGTCAGATTTATCTCCTTTGGATTTTTTTATGTGGGGTCATTTAAAAAGCAAAATCTATGCTACTCAGCCAACATCATTAGAAGACCTGCGACAAAGAATTGTGAATGAGTGTTTTCAAATTACTCCTCACATATTGCAAAATGTGCGTCAACGTTTTGAGCAAAATCTTTATTATTGCATGGAGAGTCATGGTGGCCATTTTCAACATTTACTTGCCTAATGGGTCAGTTCATTCTTCATTTTTAAATTACTTTGCTGCCAAATGTATTGATCTCCACTAATGATGATGTATTAGTTTTATTTAAGCTTTAAAGCAGTAAATCTTCAAAACTACTGAACTGAAGTACATTAATTTTATATCATTATAAAGGGAATTGAAAGACCTTTAAAATAAGGTATCACAAAAACGGTATAATTTACCCGACTTTTCCCTACCAGTAGAAACCAATTATTGATATTTTGGTGAATCCTAGATAATATAATAATAATAGTAATAATAATAATAATAATAATAATAAGTTTATTCACGTAACACACAAATGTAACTAAAGCTAACATAGGTATACGTAAATAAACTGAATTTACGCACAGAAGAATAAATTCTTGTGCGTGGGTATTATCTTACATTTTTACATAAATATAGACATACATATATGTACACATATACAGGGTGACTTTAAAGTTGAGTCATTAATTTTCAGATAATGATTGTAGAAGGAAGATAAACCAAAATATGTGTGTAAAAATAAAAAAAAAATGTTACCTTGTTTTATAAAGTATCCTCCCGATAAGTATTTCAGTGCGGACCTGTATTTGATCGTGCGGTCTTGGAGCACCGGCATGCCCTCCCCTGTAAGGTCTTAAGTCACCTGATTCACGAGCCCTTTGTACTACATTCAGCATTTTCGTAAACATGTGCCATTTTTTATTCACTATTCACTCACGCGTTACCGACTGACACATCGACTTAATACAACTGAATAAGATTGTACATTGTAGTAAAAACATCGTTTCAAATTAGGGGCCTCGGTTGGCCGCGTTGGTCAGAGTGTCGTGCTACTGATCAGCCGACCGGCCGGGCCGCGAGTTCGAATCTCGCCTTCGCCATGGATGTTGTGACGTCGTGTGTTTGTCCATAATTAGAGAAATATAAGTAACACACATCTGTGGCAAATGGATAACTTCCAATGCCAATTACATGTTAAAAAAAAAAAAAATCGTTTCAAATTTTTTCGCTTTTTTGTTTCCGATGCGATGAACGGATAAGGCGGTACTCAAACTTCTAAAGGGCTATAACTTTGTTACTTTAATTTTACCAGAAAAATGTTAAAGGAAAAAAACATTTCTTTTGATCAGATCTACTTACTGTTAAAATAAATGACTCAACTTCGAAGTCACCATGTATACATATAAATTCATGTAAATAAACACATAAATAGATGCACATACATATACGAGTATATGAACGTTGGAGGGTTTTTACTATTACATTAATTTTAAATTTCTTTCATGCATATCATGTTCGCAATTTGATGTCGATTTTTTTCTATTATAAATTTTTTGGTTTCAATTTTGAATTTTGTTTTATTTGAAATATTTTTTACATAATTCGGTAATATACTAAGTGACATATAAATCCGAACACCCAGTTTAAATGGTTTTACTTTAATAAAAGTTGGTGAATGTATTTATCTTACTGTAAATAACAAGTGAAAAAATTTTCAGCCTTATCAGTTGGACATTCCGGTTTTTATACTGCTTTTTTTTAATTCACTAACGCTCTAAAAATGAATATTTCAGCTGCAGTAAAGAATCAACGTTGGCGGATTTTGGTTCTTGACATCCTTTACGATCGGTTACGATGCCTAGAGTACGGAGACCTGTACGATTTCGTCAACTTAGTGAGTTTGATAGGGGCCGTATAGTGGAACTTCGGGAAGCTGTACTTTCTTTTCGGGCAATTGCAGTTAGAGTGCAAAGAAGTGTAGACACTGTGGTTAGGTGTTGTTAGGCATGGCTTCGAGAAGGCCGTACGCAAAGAGCAAGGGGCACTGGACGCCGCCGTAGAACAACAGACCGTGAAGATCGCCGCCTAAGATTATTGGCCTTAAGGGACCGTTTCTCCACTACCAGGTTCATTGCAAATGAATGGTTTGCAGAACACGGAAGACCTATTGGCATGCGAAGTGTTTACCGACGAATGAGAAGTTTTGGCTTGTTTTCATACCGGCCACACTGGGTCCTCCCTTTAACTCGAGAACGCCGACGTAATCGCCTTGGGTGGTGCAGACCACGGTCACTCTGGGATCAGGAATGGAACAGTATTGTCTTTAGTGACGAGTCTCGATTTTGTTTAGGCATGCACGATGGTCGTGCCAGGGTTAGAAGGCGACGTGGTGAAAGGAGGAATCCACAGTTTTTTGTTGAAACACATTTTCATCACACTGTTGGAGTTATGGTTTGGGGTGCTATAGCTTATGGTTCCAGGACACCTTTAATCTTCATCAGAGGTAACATGAACGCGCAGCGTTATATCCACGAAGTTCTAGAACCCCATCGTTTACCCTATCTTGACACCCTGGCAGATCCAACTTTCCAACAAGATAATGCCCGACCACATGTTGCAAGAGTCACAATAGACTTCTTTCAACATAATGATGTCACATTGTTACCATGGCCACCAAGGTCTCCCGAATTATCCCCAATTGAGCACGTGTGGGATATGATGGGTAGGAGATTGCTCAATTTGCAACGTCCTCCTCAGACTCTAGAAGCACTTCGAGAGGAGTTGGTGCTTGCCTGGAATGAGATACCACAGGAGGACATTGACCACCTGATCAGAAGCATGACTAGGCGCGTTGGAGAATGCGTAGCACATCAGGGTGCATCCACATATTATTAAAGGTCAAAGGGCTTTAAAGCAGTGCAATCATTTTGAAATTTTATCATTTACTTATTATGCTTCATTAAGTACTTATACAAAGTTTTATTAAAATAAAACCATTTAAACTGGGTGTTCGGATTTATGTGTCACTTAGTATATGTTATATAATCTACTGGAAAGGTAAGTATGACATCTTTGGCCTATACTTTTTGAGGTGAAAGGTGTTTGCTTCATATTGTTGATATTGTTTCTAGTTTGATATAGGTGATCAAACGGAATAAGGTTATTTGTATGGTGAAATCGATAATTTATAATTTTATCAAAAAATTGTTGCCTAGGGTCTAATAGCTTCAGAATACAACAGATCAGATGGATCTAAGAGTGGTTTGTCAAGGATTATTTTTTAAAATTGTATTTCGATAATTTCTAATTTATTAATTTGGTTATTAAGTGCTCCACCCCAACCTAAAATTTCGTAACTTATACGACTTTC